TCCTCCTCCTCCTCCTCCTCCTCCTCCTCCTCCTCCTCAGTAACTATTGGACCAGACCTCATGGCTTTATGAATTTCTACAGTAATATCTAACTGGTTCCATAGAAAGGATTTCCCATTGAATCATGGCGCCCTGTTGGCATATTATTAATTATTTTGGTGGTTTTGGTCCATTTGTCAGTGAGCTTTTTGTCTTTTATTATCAGAACACAATGTGACCTGAGCTAGAAAAGACTTTGATTAAACAAGGAACTCCTGCAGATGAGGAAAAGATTAAGAGCTTAAAAGAAGATAAATACACCTGGAATAAAGAAGGGAATGTTGGCGTTCCTTAAAGCCGGAGCTAATGCTGCGACGACACGAACGTATTTGGAGGGAAACAGGTTTACATGAAAAGTCTGTGGCAGAAACGCATCAAGGGGCGTCGCCCTTCCATCGTCTGGCGCCGCACATATTGAAGCGTTTTCAGCCCGTTCGGTTTCAAGTGTGTCCAAAGTTGGAAAATCTGAACTGTAGCTGCTGATTGCTGAGCATCAACCAATCAGATAAAGTGATCTGGGAGCTGGCAGGGAGACAGACACGGTTCCTGCAGAAACCATAAAAACCAACCAAGCTGGAGGCTGGATGGGCTGGCAGCCTTTAAAGTCATACGCACCCAGACAGTTGTGTCCATCGTGGGCCAGCATGAATCCATCGTAGCAGGTGCATCTGTAGTTCCCTGGGATGTTGATGCATTCATGGACGCAGCCGCCATTGTAGTCATTCATACATTCGTCCACATCTGAAGCACAAACAATTTCATTTCACTTAAACTTCACTATTAAACTGATTTGTTAAATATTTTTGTCCTGGTAGCATACAGAAAGAATACTCTGCTAATATTATAGAATACGTTTTATAGTCAGAATCTGCTGATTGAAATTTGCCTAAACAGGATTTTGAGATTAACTTTGTCGTTTTCCCAGATATTCATAAATAAAGAGATCTGCTGAAAAAAATAAAGGAAAAACTCAAAAAACAGGTCTAAGATCTGAACAATGAAAGATTCTCAGTAAATTCTTTGTTCTATAAGAAGCTGAAACAGCTGACAGCAAAATCACCCAAAAACAATATCAATTGAAATCAACTTTATTAACCAACGGAGGCCTGGATTTAGAGTCACACCCAATTAAAGTG